CAGCAGATTTAAATGCATTGCTTCTTTGGGTGAATGATGCTACTTGACTGCTGCTTCCATGAGCCTTGATTTTGGATCTGAGCAAGATGAAATCGATGACAACTTTAATCTTTTCTCCATTCATCATGATGCTACCTATTGGTCCAGTTGGGAGGATTTGGGTCTTCTTTACGTTAAGTTGTGATCTATACCGAGGGCTGCAATCCTTGATCTTCATCAGCAAGTGCTTCAAGTCCTCCTCACTACCAGCAAGTAAGGTGTGTCATCTGCATGTCATAAGCCTTCCTCCAGTTCTCACTCTACATTGTTCTTCTTAAAATCCAGAGTCTCTGGGGATGTGCTCCGCATACAGAGTGAATGAGCATGGGGAACATACCTGAACCCTGATGCGTGTCTTTCCTGATTTGAAACCAGGCAGTATTCCCTTGTTCTGTTTGCACAACTTCCTCTTGATCCATATACAGGTTCCGCATGAGCAATATGAAGCATTCCGGGATTCCCAATCTTGTCAAGGTAACCCATTGTTTGGTACGATCCACACAGTCAGATTCCTTTGCATAGTCAATAAAACACAATTGAACTCTTGCTGATACTCTCTGCCTTCAGTATAGCGAATAGATGGTACATATCTTACACACATTATCTCTTCTGCACAGCAAGTATTTTCTCCTTTTATTTTAGTTATTTCCTACTCTCAGCTGGCCCCTCTCCATTTGATTGATTCGTGCACTTTGTTTTTCCTATTTTGTTTTAAGGATTGAACTTGTTTCTTGTGGCTGCTCATGAATTTGGTCATTCACTGGGCCTCTCTCACTCCGGTGACCCAAAAGCATTGATGTTCCCAAACTATGTCTCGATGGATCCTAGTAAATACCCACTTTCTCAGGATGATATCCGTGGAATCCAGTCCATCTATGGTGAGCAAAGTCATAAATCTGGATATCTGAAAACTAAAGAAAGCTTTGCAGGAAGGAAGTTAAGAAAAATATCTTCTTGAAAGCATGTCGTGGTTAAGATCCTTCCATAGCACATTTCCTCATCTTTTCTTAATTCACTCTGGTATTTTTTTTTTTTTAATCAAAGGAGGTTTGCCTGCGGCAACGGCAAAGCCAAAGGAAACCACTGTGCCCCATGCCTGTGACCCTGACTTGACTTTTGATGCCATCACCACTTTCCGCAGAGAAGTGATGTTCTTTAAAGGCAGGTAAACCCAGCCCCTTTAACACTTCACCTTCCTGTAAATTTTTTTTTTTTCCTTTTTAAGGAACTCAGAGTTAAAGAGGGAGTCAACAGGTCTAGTGAGAATGTATATCTTTTACTTTTTAATTTTATACATTCTCCTACTGGTCAAATGTTAAACTATGAGTGTCTATTTTTTAACGATGTTAAAATTTAAAAATGTAATGCTTTTAAGCAATTTTAAAAATTGTCACTGGATAAGAAGTTGGAGTCTACTTTTTTGCCCAAATAATATATCAATCTCAATTTTATTCTGGAACAAACTCAAGAGCCAATCTTTAAGTTTTCAGAAATTGTGCAAACCAGTGGATATTGTATGGATAGTTAGAAACTGGCCATGTTAGGCATGTCTACACCCTAAAAATTGGCAAAAGATAAACTCAAACCTTTTTACTTAACTCACCTAAAAGACAACTTGTTGCACTGATAAAGAATTAGCTGTAATAGCAGCTCTTTTCTTTCACTATTTATAATTGCTTGGATTACACATGTATATTTCAGCATAGTAGGTTAGTTGTGTCTGCCATGACTATATTTTCCTAGAAAATTTTCAGGAGCTCCCCAATCTGACAAATACATCAGCAAAAAGGAGAGGACATTTGGAATGGGCTTCCTTCCACTCTACATCAGAACTGCTGTGCTCAGAACAGCAGAGGCTGATATCTCAACGGCATCCAGGAGGGTTGGTTGCATGGGGCAGTAAAGGAACTATAGGGCTTCTCAAGTGTCATTCATAGATTTTCGGCAGCCGGAAGAGGAATGGTAAAGGAGTATTTTGGCACCCCAAAGCTATCATTTCTTACTCCAGCAGAGAGCAGCTTCAAAACGGTCTGCTTAGAACAACTATGCCCTGAGTATTACTGCTTTGGCAAACATGGGCCCTTAGCACTCAGTACAAATAAATACTTCCCTGAATTGTTTGCCAATTTAAGAGCCCAAGAAAGTGAGAACAAAGGCATCCTTTGACCTTGGTCATCTAAAGGGCAGAACTCAAAACCTCCCAAATTTGTTGCAGGAAATTGTGTTATTATTGTCAATAAATTATTTGAGGGAAACACCAATTGATGAGATAACAGGCAAACCTAAGATTGCAATGAGTTCATTGACTTATCTATAGGTAGACATACAGGCTGTACATGTAAAATGTTTTCTCTTGATCACAGATTCCTCTGGAGGATTTATTATGATATTACTGATGTTGAATTTGAATTAATTGCTTCATTCTGGCCATCTCTACCAGAAAATGTTCACGCTGCCTATGAGAACCCTAAAGATAAGATTCTTGTTTTCAAAGGTAACTTTGGCCCATTATGATTCCTCTTCTGTCCTGAGATGTCTATACTGGCCAATGGATATGTTGGTACAAATAATATAGTCTTCATTAGTGAGCCAAATTAGTGAGCCAAATATCTCCTTAGGGTCCTGTCACAGAGAGAAACAACCTAAGGGTTCTCCGTGGCTGTGAAAATAAATATCATCCCAATTACACAAAGCTAAAGCAACATGTGTCACAAACACTGAAAAATAGTCTTTATTCAGCCAAGTAAAGGTAATCCATTTCTTCTTTTTATTTCCCTTTTTACTAGAATTGCTAGATTTGGCAAATAAAAATACAGACTACTTGGAATTCCAGATAAATAACAAATTGTTTTTCATTTTAAGTATATCACATGCAGAGTTTAGAGAGGTACACTAATTGCAAACAGCATTCATTATTTATCGGAAATCCAAAACTAACTGGGTACCCAGTATTTAATGTAGATATCCTACTTTTTACATGGATCTCATCAAACCACTTGCCTTTGAGAACACATAGAGACTGAATTTTAGCAGCCCCTGCCCTAAATTTAGGAGAAGATACTTCAGAGTTTCAACAAAGTGGATGACAAAAGCAATCGTTGCAAATGCCACAGTGGTAAGAGCAGGCACACTGCTAATGTCAGGTATGTAGTATTTGTATCCTATCAATGATACAGATAACAGAGAAAGTGACAGAAATAAATGGGGACTTAAAATTATTAAATCTCTAAGCCTTGAAACAAAAAGGAATGAGGCTTAGTTATTTTCAAGCTTCTTAAGACCTTTCTTTCTCCTTTTAGGGAATAAAACAGAATATAATCACCTTTTTCTTCCTAGATGATAAGTACTGGATGATCAGAGGATACGCTATTTTACCGGATTATCCCAAATCCATCCACACCCTTGGCTTTCCAAGAAATGTGAAGAAAATTGATGCAGCCGTCTGTGACCAAAACACAAGGAAAACCTATTTCTTTGTGGGAATTTGGTACTGGAGGTAAATTCACAGAGAACTAACTCCTGGACTTTCTTTGTAGGAAAAAATACCCACATAGCATCCTATTGACACAGGTAAAATAGAACTAATCTCATAATGTGAATTATATAAAGGGAAATCTCTAATGGATGAAATTTACAACCTTCCTCTCCCCGCTAACCCCCGCCCCCTAAAAAAGCCTTTGTGAGTCCAAGTACCTTCCTACAAAGTAAAACAAATGAGAAAGCTGGTGATACCACCCAAATTGCCAATGACACCAACAGTCAACATTTTTGAAAGCGGCAAGCTGGGCGAGCCCTCCCTTAACAAGTCCTGGTGTGGCTTTCATGGGCACGTGTTTTGAGACACTGTAAATGATCCAACCAAGTAGACTCTCGGTCATATAGGTGTGGTTGGTGTTTGTGTCGGTAGGTGCCATGGAGTGGGTTCAGACCCATAGCGACCCTTCGCACAACAGAACGAAACACTGCCGGGTCCTGTGCCGTCCTCACGATAGACAGTTTCTGCGTTTGGGCCCGCTGTGTCCATCCATCTCATTAGAGGTCGTTCTCTTTAGTGAACCAATCTGTTTTCTTCCC